ACACAAGAAGAAAATCAAGATTAAGAATAAATAAGTTCCTCAAATAGTTAGGAAAAGAAAGAATATTACAATCAGATATTTTTTATTGAGAAGAGATCTTGAGAAGTGGTTTAGAAGAAGCTGGAAATCTTTTTTCAATTTTTACTCTTTCATTTTCTTGTTGTCTACTTAGACATTTTTAAATATCACTTTTTTTTTTTTTAATCCATTCTTTTGTAGTTTCCTATATTTCAGTGACTTAATTAGATATATAATAGTAATAACTTGCTGACAATAATACATTAGACTAGAAAAGATTTTACTTAAAGACACTATGAAATAAAATATTGTTTTTAAGATCAAATTTAGAGGTTTTTATACTTATGATAGATTAATTAGATTAGAATGATAATTTAGCTATAGTATGTATCATGCTGCTTAAATAAAATGTTCTTATGTTTTCAATTGATTAATAAACTGACTATCTAGCCTAACTACAAGCACCCTTCCAAAAAATTGGTACTTCATAAATCAGACTATAGGATATAAGTTCAATTCCTTTAAAAAATTAATGTAATTTTTCTAATTTAAACAAGAGAATCTAGAAAACAATTTATTAATCTAATTATATTTAATTGATATTTTTAAATATAGCCTAACACAGATCAAGATAATTAATAATTTTTATTGATTCTTATTAAAAATTAAAATCTTTATAATATAGAATACAAACTATAAAGTGAGTATCTCAGAAAAGTGAATATCTTTATTGAGTTTTATTTGATAAAAAACAAGTAGTATATTTTAGAGTAACCACTTTATATAATAATACTATATATATAAATAAAATAAAACTGAGTCAATATTATAAAAAAATTTTTTTTAATAATTTGATTAATAAAATTATTTTTTTTCCTTAATAAGAATATTAATTTTGAGTAAACATTAATTATTTAATTTTATCTTGATAAATTTGATATTTTTTTAATAATTTAATTTAATTTTTTTTTTAAGATGCTAGCTTATTTTTGTGTTTATGTGTTGCGTATTTTATTAAAGTAAGTAAAAAATCCAGTAATAATTGGAATAAATAATTATTTATATTGGCTAAGAATTTACATATCAATAAATAGTACAAAGAATTAACTATTTATGTCTTATCCAATCAGGATAATATAATTACATAACTATTTAATATAGATTAATTACTTACAAAAACAAAATACTAAATAATAATAAGAAAGATATACAAACTATATTACTTTTCTATTTTATATTTAAATACTCTTTAGAATCTCAATTATATTAAACTTCTATTAATGGTTTAGACCTTGATTCATTAAATGGCTTATTGTTATTCCTAAAAAAGGGTGCTAATATGCTAAGAATTTATCTAAAATATATAGTATAATTAATATAGAGGATTTTTTATATGAAACCTTAACCTTTATTAGTACTTAACTAAAAATTTTATAAAAAAAGAGTTGACTAGTATTGTTCCTAAAAAGGTACATTGTTGTTTTACATAATAGCAAATATGTTTTCAAATAAAGGGTGATAGATATTTAAAACTTTTCTATAAGGATCCTATTTCATATAGATATTTTCTTTTTTATTTGAATCCATTGGAATAGAAAAAAAGAAGTGAAAGACCAATATTTTTTTATCCAATATGTCCTAATTCAGCTTTGTTTTTTCTGTATAACCAATAATATTATAGGTATTTATGTCTTGCACCATATATATATAACTTATAGTGAACCTCAAGTTCTTATAGATATTGAGAAAATATATTCAGATACATGAAATGATCAATAGAAGCTTGTTTATATTTCTTTACTGATATGTTTTCTATTAGCCAATTATTGTTTGAGTAACTTTGCATTATTTAAAATTTAGGATTAAACTGAAGTAGGCAAAATTTATCAGAAAAAATTGAGAAAGAGTATTTTTAAAACAAGTATATGATAAAAGAGTGGATGGTTGCCTTCAAGATAAGTTTTTTATCACCAAAAAAGCTCTATATTATTTCTCTAGTAAGTGGATAAGTAGTAGTATTTAAGTTCTTCTTTCTTTCAAAACTTTTTTATTATTGGTAGAAAAGGTATATTCATGAATTTTGTTACTGAAAGTCAGGTTTTTATTTAAAGAAAATTGTTTATAAAAGGAAAAGGGGATAAATATGACTCTTGAAATATTCCTTAAAGTTGATTTAAGGAAAATTATAAACTTTATTAGTTAAAAAATATAAAAATTTTTTGCAAATATCTTTTTTATGTAGGTTAGAAATCAACATTTTTTTAGTAATTTAATATAAAAAACATATTGCAATAAACTATAATTATTTTATTATCTATAAAAATTATTAATATTATATTCATAAATTCAATTTTCATTAAAAATCTAAATTTAATACTTGTTTGTAATAATAATAAAAAAATAATATATTTAATAATTTCTTTAAAAAAAATAATATAAATATAATATAAAGTTTTAATAAAAATAAAATAATATAATAATAATTAAATAATAAAAAAATATTTTTAAGAAATTAATTTTTAAATAAAACAAAAAATATATATAGAAATAGATATTAATACAAATAAAGTAATAAGAACTACTATATAATTCATAATATATAAAATATAATAAATAAAATAGAACAATATAGGAATTTTTAGAAGAAATAGTTAAATATAAAATATAAATAATAAGATTTATTGAAACAAAACTAATAAACACAAGTAACTAATAAATATTTAAAGATTAAAATATTTTTAAATATTATTTTAATACAAATAAAAAAATATTATATAGATAAATAAATACTTTCATTTAAAAAACTTGTTTATTTTTAATCTTAAATTTTTTTTATATGTTGTTTAAATAAATTTATATTTTATTAAAAATTTTTACTTCTAAAATTATAGTTAATTTTAACTTGTTTTAAATAATAATTTTACATTTATCTGTAATAAATTAATGACTTATAATAAATTTCAGGTTCTTATAAGACTCAATAAAAATTAATTCACATTATATTAATATATTATTTTTTGATTTCGAAATCCCGAATCAAATGGTTGGTTCCTCACGTGACCATTAAATGTGACCATCGAGATTATCGGACGTAACTGTTTGGAAATTCCATTAATCTGATAATCTCATCCATCGATATACGTACTTACCTGTAAACACAAATTCGTCGATCCGCATTGTAGTACCTTTTATACTTGCGTAATGAAACTTTTACATTATTTTCTTTTCATTAAAGATGTCGGCCATTATGTCATCAGTCTGCGCTGAGTCGACGGGCAACCCTGTGTTGTCTCTTACTGAACAGTTCTTTCGAGATGTTGGTATTGCTTCATCTTCATGGAATATAGGACAAGGGGGGAACACGGCAAACTCTTTTCGTTCCACTTCAAACTTCGAAGAAGCGTGGAAAAACAGCAGTGGGACGACCAAGTTTGATGATTGGAATCAAATCATTCAACCCCAAAGTGAATTTGAAAGTGAATGGCACGCGACCGAGTTTGCGCTTTCCGAGCAAGCGATGGAAGACGACGAGGAATTTCGTCAAGAGTGGAGTGATGAACGATTAACCGAGTTGTATATCAAGAAGCACGGCTTGGACAAAACCCATAATGACAATGACAATTACATGCGTTCACACACCAGAACGCGATATTCTCAAGAGAATTCTTTTATTCAAGAGTTTTTAGAGAGTAGTACGTGCCATGACCGACAATTTTCACGAGAGTATTCTACATTTACGACTAATAATATCACCACATACATCACCCAACACAATGATTTGTTCCAAGCTCAACTCTATCTCTTTGATCATATTCTTTCCAACGTCCTATCATATCCATTGTCAATAACTTGTAGACCCTCATCCGAATCCGAATGGGATTGGGATAGACTATTTTCTCCGTCGAGGTGGTGTGAAAAAGGAGATAAGGAGGAAGAAGAGATAGCTCAAGATAAATATCTCAAAGATGTGGCTTCGAGAAGATTACAGCTTTTGTTTGGACATCTCGGTATTCAAACTGAAAATGGAGTGGAGGATGGGAATATGAATCTCATGGGTCACGAGATACGCGTAGCACTTTAGAAAAGAGTCACCCGATAATAACAATTTCGTAACTGTTTTTTGTAGAAATGAGATAGAACAATAACAATAACAATTTGGGTTCTTGCGATTACAAGAGGATATACTGCTCATCTTTAGTATGAAACTTTCTCAATTATTTCGTGAACTGTAAAAAGAAAATTTTTATCACTTTATTACGAAATAGATCTCAAATTTTCTAAGGCAATATCGGCTAAAATTCCACTAAGCACCAAAGTGCCTGTCCACTTGTTGCTGCGAAATTTTCTGCCACAATCGGTCACGCTATCAAAGTTAACCGTGCGTAACTGCCAGGCGAGATGAGCCCCTGTTCCAAAAACGGAAATCAAGTAAAACGGCCAGCCTTGGCCATTCGTCTGTCCGGACAAAATGAGAAGTGATAACATTGACCCCGAAAAGAAGGTCAACCACTGTCTGGTCCTATTTCCAAAGAGAAGAGCAGTTGATTTCACACCAATTGTACTGTCGAAATTTTTGTCCTAAGAGGAAAAGGAGATTAAAGGAGACTTTACATATCACGCTCTTTCAGAGTTGACATTATACATGTTCTTTCAAAGCGAACAGGATTTATTTTATTTTTTATTTTTTTCTAACCTGGTGAGCATAAATCGTATCATACACCAAAGTCCAGCATACACCGGCACCGTATAATGGGAGGGTGACGAGCCAATCACTGTTACCAATCATTGCAGGCCAGCCTAACAAAGCACCCCAATTGAAAGCAAGACCTATTTGGATGTTTTTTTTTTTTTTTAAAAAAAAAAATGCTTGCTTACTCATTGTAAAGGGGGTGTGTGTGTGTGTGCACATGTGTACATAATTACAGGTAAATGTGTTATATGTTAAAAGGACGTACCGAGATATAGCTGCGGCCAATATGTCACACGTTTCATGAATGGATATGTGACGACAACACATAAGGATGTTGCCCCGAGTAAAATACTGGGTTCAAATACAACGTTATTTTAATGGTTCATTGCATTTCGTGGAAGCGAAGTTACTACCTATAATAATTTAACTGGATCAATATTGCCAATCCGGCTGATAATTGTAACCCTAGGAAAGTCAATGCTTGAAAAGGTGTCACCATTCCCGAAGAGAGAGGCCGGTTTTGTGTACGTTCTACCAATTTATCGATGTCCTTATCCCACATGTCGTTAATTGTGCAACCGGCACCCCTCATGATGAATGCTCCGGCACCAAACAACATCATCATATAGATGGTTTTGGTGATGGGTAAATGGGCGTGATACGATGCCATCGTGATACTCCACGCTGTTAATGAATAATACGGTCATCCATCGCTCATCTCAAATTTTTCAGAGAAAGAAGAAAAAAAAAAAAAGAACGAACGACATGTTGACGTACTGCAAGGTAGGTATAAAAGCCAGGTTCCTATGGGTTTATCCAAACGTGCAAGAAGAGCATAGGGTACAAGTCTTGGCGGCAGATACTTGTCAAGCCAAGAAGGCTTTTCATATTTTTCATTGGTTGAAGGAAGAATGCCGCTACTGTAGCATGCAGACTGGAAAGTGAGGATAGGTTGGTGGCATTTCCAGTGTGACGTGGAAACGCGTGAAAAAAGTAATTTCCTTTGGTGATTTGAAAAAGAGGAGTGTAAACACGAATTCCTTAAGAGGAGAGAGGATTGATCGCTGAAATGATTGAGGCAAGTGAATAATCTCGAACCGACTGTTTGACGATTCCTCAAAATGTGAATTCTAGAAAGCAACAACATCCTCGGATTCGGATAGGGTGCACTTATAGCAAAACCGAAACTGGTTTTAAGAAAAAAAGCCTCACCAATGAAATCTCGCGATAATCATTTTCAGGAGGACTCGGTCACACGGAGGATGCACGTAGTGCGTGAGGAGTTGCCGAACACTATTTTGCCCCGATAAACTTGGTCGCAACGAATTCTTCATGTCATAAATTTGTTGATGTTGTTTCGATATATCGAATGTCCGAAAGAAATCACTAAACGAACGAACCCCGATGTTTCTAATTGTATTATATACAGTATCTCACTCAACAATTAAGGTAGCAGTAACCCGGTGACTGGTGCGCACTAATTATACAGCATTCCATTTAATTAATCAATTGGGATATATGATTATGGGGATTGATGAACAAAATGTGATATTTGATATTATTAGGTGAACGGGGTTTTTCACTTTTCCACTTCATTGAACGTGTCCTTCCCGGATTTTCAAAGGGCGCAGCAACCTTCAACCGAATTGAATAAAGCCGTCGTGCCACGGTCATTGCTTAATTGGTCATCCTATGAGAAAACTTGTGCTCGGTAAAGATAACGAATAACGTGCGGAAAATCATTCGATTGCATTTATACCTAGTATGGATGAGAAGTGGGGTTAATATTAAAAAATACATTAGTTGTAGAGTGCTATTATTATCATATGTATATATTTTATATTTTATTGTATTATATTATAAAGTATTATCATGTTATATTATACACTATATATGTATTATATTATATATTACATTATTATTATGGTTACTTAACAACAAAGTTTGGCGGGAAAATTTTTCTAGGCATGAAGTGTGTCGTATATGCGATGACGGAAGCAAAATTAGCAAAATATTTTGATAATGCCGGGCAATCGGCGTCACACCACCGCCAAATACCAAACATATATGTTCCTTTTTTTTTTTTTTTTTTCCTCGTGAATTTACGTTGACACCGTATCTGAAATCATGTCATTTTAAAGAACATCTCTAAAATGCATTGTTGCGTCAATTAATTATCGTAGATGGCTAGGCACCGGAATGAACCAAAGTTTTTTTACTCACGGCCTTCGGTAGATACCATCGGTGCGCAGTAAGTAATGTGAAGGTGACAACGATTGTTTGCGAATCTGCAGGCAGGTAATGGTAATGAATGGTAATGTAATTGAAGTGCAAGGAGATAATTTCTCAACTAATTGCGCATCATTCGTGCGAATCTCGAAACTGTGCGAATGCGGATGTTGGCAGGGAATTCCGGTTTTTCGAGAAAATTTTTTCATTCCTTTATAAATGCCTCTCCATCACTCCAAAGATGTGTAGTAATTGATGTTTCCTCGATTTGTAAGTCGGACGATTGATACCCGATTGATCAAAATTTTATAAATTACGTAATAATAACATTCGTGCGTACATGGTATCCGTAGTTGCTGGGATAGCCTAAAATTCATTTGGGTGATTGGATAAAGTTTGATTTGTGATTACTGATCATGTTCGTATCATTATTATTCACTGACGTAGGCATTTATATAATACGGTCACCCTTTTTCAAGTTGCGGCACGCATAAATCAGTTTACAATAGAATATAAATTAAAAAAAACTAAAACTTTTTTTTTTTTTTTTTTTTTTTTTTTTTTTCACGTACAGTAAATATAACGTATTATATAAAAAAGCAATTTAACATCTGCAACAGACCTTTTTTTGTTTTTTTTTTTTTTTTGCAGGCAATCACTTCGTACGACCAACAGATCATCCACCTCCTAAATTTACAAACAATAAAAGGGTTACGGTTATCCCCATTTTTTTTTGAAATTTTAATTTTTTCATCATCTCAACTTTCCACCCTTGTTTAGATCGGACAAAAAGAAAATCAGTCAATTTCACCTTTTTCTTTTTTCCTTTTCCTTTTTTTTTTTTCCTCCAAGAGAACTTCCAATCATGAGCATTGCACCACCTCGTATTTACACGATGATGAACAATTTGAACAACATTCAAGGTAATTTGAGTGGAAATCAAAACAGAAAAAAAAAAATTGGCGAATCATTAGGCCATATTTTATTCCTTTTTGAATTGAATTGATTTGTAGTTAGCGGAATCTCCTGAAAGAATAATCTTCGAATACGAACATTTCTTTTTTTGTAAACAAATTTTCTCTCGTCAATGACAATGCAGATAATTATCCAATGACACCTAGCGATAATGGGGAGATTCCATTAAACAATATTAAATCATCAACGAGAAAGAGTCGATGGCGTCTTTCAGAGGTCCCCCCGGAAATAATGCAATTAATAACCCCACCAAATTCAGAGACTTCCGGGTCACCCGCTGGCTTCCCACCAAGTTCCCCGTGCACACCGTTCTCCACCACCACACAAATGTCAGAGAATCATTGTGCAACCCCTTCGGCTGAGATTTCAAAGCCATCGTGTACTCGTAAGCGACCTCGCAAGAATCCATATCCTATCCGCAGTCCAGATAGAGAAACCGATGATGGCTCGATGTGTTTTAGAATCAACGTTTACGAGATATATAAAAAGAATCCCAAGGCTCTTCTCGACAAGCCATCATACAAACGCAAAACCGGTTACAGGAAAATCAAGTCGATTATAGATTCTAAGATTGATAAGACGCAACCTCCACCGCCTCCGATGCCATTCGACGAATTGATGAGCAACCTCGAAGACCTCGATCTCACCTGCGACACCCTTGACACAATTGACCGACCAAAAATAACTTGGCGAGGTGTCGAGTCAAATGTCGAGTCGCAGCCTCATTCCGAGGTCCTGCACAGAGTTGAGGCCAAGGCCTGTAGCATTCTGCGGCTAACGCCCGAACAATATCTCAACTCTAAATTGATTATTCTTACCGCAGCTAAGGAGTATCGAGAAAGGTTAATGCCATTTAGGAAAGTGGACGCGCAACGAATTGTTAGGATAGACGTGAATAAAGCATGCAAACTTTGGGAGTTTTTCTCACAAGCTGGATGGATTTAACTATAAATTTCGAAAGATACTCTTATCCGAGGGACGGCCTCGAGTAGACACCGAGGTTTTTTTTTTTTGAAAGAATTATTCGAATTCGACGGGTTCACAACTGTAAATCGAAATAACCCTCCTATCAAATTCACATCGTCTTCGGGTGTAAAAAATTTTCTTTACGTCTTTTAATTAGTAAGTGAACAATTAATCCTTGTAACTAAACTAAACAGTTGGTGGTGTTAAGGTTTTTTTTTTTTTTCTAAAACATACAAAAAAAAAGTGAAACGACGTTGACAACAGAAAAAAAGTCTGCTTTACCGCAAAGTGTATATAGTCAAAAAAAAAAATTTTTTTTTTTTTTATCGCAACATTTCTCTACTTCTCTTAATAATCAATTGGTCATTCGCGTAAAAATAAAAAGACGTCGCGTAAACTACAAGACGCGCGTTTCGTTCATTCGCGTTAAAATGCGGGATTATGTAATTGCCGTTTGTATGAAAATGGGAGTTTTTTTTTTTTTTTCCTTTGGAGAGTATATAAAAAGTACTGTAGTAGTAGGCATGTAAAACAAAGAGTGAAGATTAGCTCGTGAAGGAAACTGGGGTCGTGCATCCATCGTGCGGATTTGCGGCTCATAGTCGAGTCGAGTCCCCTGCAGCCGATTGGAAATAGAAGTAACCATCGGATGGATCTAGCAGCACACATGTTGAAAATCCAAGTTTGTTAATAATCATTACGAACAAAATAGTCTTTGTACATACTTTAACAAATCAGGTTTTACATACGGTATATTTCCATTTACTGAATTGCATTCGGTTAGCCACTTGCATGCTAGAACAATTGAATGTGTCATTTTTAATTATCATTCCGCGCGCTCTGTTACAATATTTCAATGCCGACAAATGTATGACGCTTGAATTTCCATGGACAACAATGAGAGCAGAGAATTCACGTAGTTAACACTAAATTTTAGAATTGTTCTCGGCGAAAGTTGGAGCTTCTCACAAGACCATTACATGGCGAGTTCTCTTCGGATGTTTCACATGGTTTACAAACAAAAAAAATTTTTCCTTTTAAAAAAAAAAAATCACTTTTTTTTTTAGTTGGAACCATAATGAATAGGTACAATAGGGTTTACTATAAAAGGAATATATTCATTGATGTACAACCCTTACTACTTGCTTTCTTTATCAAATATTTGTAGATCTTCTTTACATTTCTTTTAACGAATGAATGCGCGCGTCTGACTAAATTTGTCGTTATAGTAAAACTCACTAATTGTCGGTTCAACAATGTGTGGATTATGCACGTTGTGCCAAACGCGCAGATTTTGAATAATTAGTTCTGCGCGAGCATACCTTTGTTCTATGGTAAAGAAAGAAAAAGCCAAAGTCTTCAACTTTGCACGAATTATGGTCACGTGCGAATAATGCACGATATGTTGTATATATATACAGTATATTTTTTTTTCTTTGTTGATTAAACGTATCAGTGAAATAGCCATCCAAAACACTAACTCGTTTTGCCGCCTAAATAAGATTTTTAATAGCTAATTCGCTTCCTCATATTACTGCTGTAATTATTCGAAAATAATTTTTATCAATTAGTTTATAAGAAATGTGATTTTTTTTTTTTTTTTTTTTTTTTTTAACCCTCTGTCAGGCTAGTTGCGTGCGCTTTATTAAACAAAAGTAAGCTATACATTTATACAAATATGTGTCGCTAAAGAGTTTATAAGAAATGTGATAATTAAGCAATACAATGATTAAAAATATTCATTTGAAGGCAATTTTCGAAAAAAAATTTTAAGGCTCACGAATATGCAGTATATGAATATATGAATATCATCAAAAAATTTTGTCATCAAATTACAGTACTTTTACCTATATATAACAAAAAGGAAAAATTTGTAATAAATATTTTTCGATAAATACAATACTTTTTTAAAAACATTTGATAACTATAATGATTTTTGTTGTTTAATAAAAATAATTTGATACAATAGATACATGAATATTTTTTTTTTGAATTATGATTATAACTTTTATTGTTAAAATAACATTACAAAAGATAGATTATATACTGTAAATCAACTAAATTTAACAAGTTATTTATCTTATTTAAACTATTTCATAAAACTTGTTGTTTTAATTCATTTATTTAAAAAATTTTTTAATAAATATATATATATATTTTTTAACCACCAGTTCAGCCTTTACTTTATTGGATATGGTTTTTAAATATAAAAAATAATACATATTAAAAATATAATTGTAAACCTATAAAACTAAACGATATGACTATACTGATCATTCTTGGACATGTTATTGTCTCTAAAGTAAGAACTAGTGAAAGATCACTAGTGCTGATAAAATTTTTAAAGAGGAAGGAAGAAGGGAAATTAGAAAATAAATGAGTGGATAGGATGATTAATTTATATGTACAATTTCTTGCTATATGACTTATACAAGAAAAAGAAAATTTTGTTCAGAGTATTCATTAAAACTTTTCAAGTAGTGCCAAATATCCATTCATATATGATAGTGGAAGCACTAGTACATGATTTGATCATATTTCAGATCCTCCAATAATTTTTGTACAATATCAGTTATATTTCAGATATCTTTATCTAAATTCTTGAAAAATATGGAAATCTTAACCATTATCTTTGATAGTCAACTTATTCTCCCTTATAGAAGCTCCCAAAATATTAGTATGAATTATATATAAAAGTAAAATACTAATGCTTAATAGAAAGAAGAAGTCTTTAAAATAAACTATTAAGTTATTTTCTTGGGAGATGTCAAAGAAGGAGATATGAATTCAATTCTATTTAAAAATAAGAAGAGGTTGAAAGTAGAAACATATGTATTGATATCAATAGATCAATTTGCAGACCATTTTCTTTGATCTTTATCATTATAGAATAGTACATTAAATATTAATATTCATATATTTCATTCTTTGTGTTCTAAAAGCTGAGCCAAGGAATAGATAGAGAAATCAATACTCTATTTTCAAATCTTTATCTATTTGATGAAACTAAAATAAATCTATCTGATAATCAGAGTAAGTGACTATGTCTTTAAAAACTAAACATAACATCTTATAACTTTTACTATGATTGGATGGACTCTTTCTAGAGATGGTCGATAACTTTTATAAAAATATGTTCTATATCTATCTGCAACAGATCCAATAACTTATGATGAATTTCAGGTTCTTATGAAGTTAAGGAAATGTATTCAAGACATATGAGATAATCAATAGAAGCTTATTTATATTCATTTACTAATATGTATTTTTCTATTCAATCATTGTGTGAGAAACTTTGTGCTACTCAAAATTTAAGGTCAAACTGAGGTAAGCAAATTTTCTTAGAAAAAATCAAGAATAAACACTATTAAGGCTAATACCATAACAAAAGAGTAAGTGAATATATTCTAAAGAGTCTTTCATCATAAACACAGCTCTATGGTGTTTCTATACTAAGTGAAAGAACTAAAGTACTTTAGTTCTTCTTCTTTTCAGAACTTTCATGTTGTTAATAAGAAGTGTGTTTCATGATTTAGATTAATAAAAGTCATGTTTTTATATAAAGAGAAATATTTATAAGAGAAAGGGAAATATAATGATGATTCTTGAGTTTTTTCTCAAGTTAGTTTAAGAAAAATATTAAGGCTTTCTTAGCAAAAAAGTATAATAACTTCTTGTAAATATTTTTTTTGCATGTAATTAGAAAATCAGCAAAAAGAGTAATGAAAAAAAAAAAATCAAAAATTTAATAAATATATTAATAAAATTTTTGAATTGATATAATAGTTTTACGTATAAGAATTTTAAAAAATGTATAAACTTAATTTATTTTTTTAAACAAAAATTAATTTATTTTAAAGAAATTTGTCATATCAATATTTTATAAAAAATTTTTTTTTTTTTTTTTTTTTTTAATGTTGACTTGATCAAGTTTATTAACAAAGTTTTACTATTTAAATATATCAGACTAGAAAAAAACAATAATAAGCTATTAAACTAATAATAGATTAAAAAACCACCTCATGACTGAGCTATCTTCAAACAGGAATCTAATAAAAAGGCCATTAGGATGATAAAAATTTTTAAAGGAAAGTTGATGTGTGTATCGAATCTAGTTTATCTATCTTAACCCTAAGAAGAGGAATGTGTGTTCATATATTAATTTTCTTGAACAGATATCTACTACTAGGAAAAATAATTGGAGACAATAGCTATACAAGGATCAATAGGGAAGAGGATTCTGCTTATATATATATTGAAAGGACTTGGTGAGAGAGGGAAAATGATAATCCATTATAGAATCAATACTTGAAACTATGCTATTATTACTATTTCTTTATTGTCAGCTGAATACTCTTTGAGGACTTTATTGATCGAGAGCGCAATATCTGTTCCTTAATTGCTTCAGTATTTCCATGTTATGGTTCTTATGTTTTCCAGTTTCAATCCTATATCTTGTCTTATCCTATTTATATTGGATCTTCTTTTTGATGTTCCTTCAAGTAACCAGACAAGTCAAAGGGATTTTTGAAGGGATCTAGAACTAGGGTTGAAGAGAATTGAAGAGAAAGGAATATAGGAATGTAAATACGAAATATGGGACCTTTATTATTCAATAAATCTGTTCTTACTTACTCATTGCAATAACCTCTCTAGAAAAAAAATCTTGATCTTTCTGGCATGCACCTTCACTAGCCTTAATAAATGTTGCTCTTGAAGTACTACTATCATGAAGAAGTTGATTCACTATACCATCTCGCATCAACAACTCCTGCTGGTGATTTCATTTTTAATTGGTACTAACAATCCCAAGGGATCATCCAGTCTTCCAGTGTTTCAGGCTTGTATAAGTAGGTAGTATACTTTCAAAGCTTTGTCTTCATTCTATATCTTCATTAACCTCTTGTTCTTCTTATTTTCCTAAGTAGCAGTAGATAGTTTTCTTAAAGATTATTCTCTTTCTTGGTATTCAATGACAT